CACGGTCGCTGCCGTGCGGGTCCTGGGGTGCCTGGTGCTGGCAGGGAGCAGTGTGTCGTTTGTGTGCAAAACGTCACCAGATTGGGCCCAGGGAGAGTAACAAAATTTGGCTCTTCCACTGGGAAGGAGCCAGGGCGAGGGGGTGCCAAGGGCTTTGCTGTGGCTGGTCCTGTGCACTGAGTGCGTTAGCAGCAGTGGGAAGTGTGTGGAGGGAGTGACCGCGGGTGTTAAGTGAGTAAACGGCCACGTTCCTAAGGGATTTTCCAGTGCAATTTGCTGGAAAGTGTTGGGACATCCCAAGAATTATCCAGCACTGGCATCGCTACTGGAAACAACAACTTAGGGTTAGCCTGAGCCCCAGGGAAGGAGGAAGAGAAACTTAAACTTGGAAAAGCAACCTAAACTTGGCAGTAAGGGATTGCTGCCCTGCCCCCGGGGCAGGAGATGCACCCATAGTTCTGGTGCGGGTTGGAAGCAGGACAGTCGATGCTGTCAGTGCCGTATCCCGGGCCAAAGCCCCACTTAGCAGGTTTCTCTCTGCGTTCACCTGGCTTCTCTCTGCGTCTTTACAGCCACCTTTGCTGTGGTTTTTCTTGCAAAATGAACGTGTTCCTGGTTAAACCGTGCAGGATGCGCGCTGTCTGTGCGGATGCTGCGGTGCGCGTGGCAAGATGTGAATCGGAGGCGTCTTCGCTCGCTGCTGCGGTGGGAATCGGGCGCCGGGAGCCTTCCTCGTCGCGAGCTGGGTCTGCGCCGATTAACGCAGCGAGCTGAGGAGCTGAGTCCCGCTGAGGCCGAGGCCTCTCCTGCAGCGCGTCCCGGCCTCGCTCCGACGGGGACCTCTGCATCCTGGATGTGCCGGTGCCACTTCCCTCGGCCTTCCCGACCTGTGCGCGGGATGCTACGGCACCAGCATGTAGCCTTTGCATTTTGCCTCTTATTGAGCCCCTGCTCTTTTTCTGGAGGGAGGAAGCAAAGGCTTTGAGCCCCTCCCAGAGCTTTCGCCTCATCCTTGGGATTGTCATCCTGCCAACAGTCGCCGAGGAGATGGGGACGGCAACAGCCGCCTTCCCGCGGGGCTGTTGCTGGCTTCCCGTTGGCGTCACCACGGTGTCACCGGCACCAGGGCTGGCCACGCTTCAGGAGCCGCCTCCAGAGGTCAGGCGAGCTCTGCTGCCCCGGTGCCGCCGGACAGGGCTCCGGGAGCTCCATGGCTTTTCCTGCCCCTGCTCCTTGTTGCGCTGTGTCGGGGTGCAGCTGGCTTGGAAGCTGTTGTAGCCTCCAAGCCCCGCTGGCCTTGCGATGTGCACCTGTAAAAAGGGCTTTCGCAGGGTGTCTCGACACACTGGGTAACTTTGTGATTGCCCCAGTTTGGAGAACGTTGGGCATTTGGGGTTGAGAGGGCTTTCGCTCCAGCTTCAAAAACCCACTTTCCAAGGCTCAAGATGCTGGGAAAACACTGGCTAAATAGAGATGAGGAAGGAAAACAGAACGCTCCCTGAATCGCCTGGGATGTTTTCTTCCTGAGGATCCCTGAAGCAGCGGAAACCCTGGGATAGCAGCGCACGTCGCTCCCTCCCGGGCTGCTCCGCTCATCCCAGCGCGTTCCGTCCGGGAGCCGTTCCAGGAGAGCGGAGCGTGGTGAGCGCTGCCCGGGCTCCAGCGCTTGGCCGGGAGAGGGTTTCGGTGCCGCTGCGACGCGGCGCCCGCGGTGCCGCTCGGCCTTATCTTATCGCCGTGCGGAGCCTCTCTGGACTCCTGACCTGGCGGGCGTTGCCTCCAGCGAGTTGCTGGGGCTGATGTCACGGTCCCAAATATCCGTGTGCCGCCAGGGAGGGCGCCTTTGGGCGGTTCTTATCTCCCGTCTGCTGCTTGTCCTCCTGTTCCCGGCGACGCCGGGGAAGGCGAGCTGCTTCTCCGGCCTCGTCTCTCTAATCTGGGGAAGGAAAAGCTTCCGCGGGCCGGGGAACGTGACCCGGCTGCGGCTGCATCAGTTTAACGCATGTTCCTCTAACGCTCTTCTCTCTTCCAGTCCGCTCCAGAGCAGCACAAACCAGAGCCTTCTCCTGTCTAAGGAGCCGGGAGCTGCCCCGAGCAAGAAGCGCCCTACGTGGCGCCGGTGACCTGCTGCAGCGGGGTTATTCCATGGGGTTAAATTGGCACGCAGTGTCCCCCCGGATTCCAGGGTTTAATTTCCTGTAGGCCGATTTCTGTGGCTAATAGCGAGAAGCCCGAGGGGGCTGGGCTGATTCCAGTCTCTGGTAATTTAACAGCAGCAACACACGCAAAAAGCTGCCAGCTCATGCAGCCCCTGTCAGGCCGTTTCTGCTATAAATCCATGGGAGCTGTGTGGATGCAAGGCAGAGCGCCTGTTATCCTGCAAGGATCCTCCCTCCCTGAGATTAATGTCTTTCCTAAGTATTCATGCGGGCTTGAAAGGGGGTTAAGAGCAGCCAGGATCTCGTGTTTCTCAGCAGCAGAGAGGTGATGTGGACAGGGATTTCCTGACACCGCATGTAGCAAAGAGACAGGCCGGAGCTGAGCTGGTCGCAGGGCCTGTCCCTTTCAGCAAACGTGTACAGCATTGCCCAGGTTGGTCCGTATGCAGAGGGGAAATGGGTGTTGCTGAAGATGATTCACCCAACCTATAAATCATTTTGTGCCTCGTGAGTGCTGCCGTCCCATTAGAAGCTTAATGTATCCTGTCTTTCAGCAGCAGTGATAGGTGCAGAAGAAATTAATTCATGGAGCCAGAGAGAGCGCTGCTGTTTGCTGATCTAGCATCAAGGAAGAGGAGAAGGGCTCAATTAGCAAAAGTGCCTTTTAAATGGAGATAAATTTGCTGGGAAATGAGCTGCTCCATTAAGAAAATAAATCCTCAGACCCTGGGATTCGGTCACGGGGCTTGCAGGGGCGAAGGAAGAGCTGAGTTTTTGTTGGCTCCTGGCTCTGCTGTGGCCTCCCTGAGCTCTGCAGGGAGCTGGCGGCGTCCGTGTTGCTGGATCCTTGTGCCACTTAGCAGCGACGATGGCTCTGCCCTCGTGCGCTCTGCAGCTCCCAGGAATTTGAACCAAACTCTCTTCTGGGCTTTGTCTTCTGTAGATGCAGTTTGCCACATCCAGCGTGGTGACTAGCAGCGGGCTGGTGGCGTTCTCTCCTATGCTCTGTATTGCCACTGCTTGGTTTTACTCCTTATTCCAGCCTGGTTTGATCTCGTTCGAGGGTTTTTGCGTGTTTGGGGCTCCCGTGTGCAGCCCGACTCGTTGGTGTCACTGTGGCGTGTTTTGGTGGATCGAAGTCTGTCCGCTCGGCGTCCACACTGGGCCTTGAACCCTTGCTCGGAGCTCTGGCTCGCCGGGGTGATGATCAGGATCTCGGAAACAGTGACACCCAGCACGAGAGGAGGCAGCGAGGACAGACGGGCTCTCCCAGGAGCTTTGTCCCCTTCTTGCTGGAGCTCTGTTGTCCCTTGATGCCGTCACAAGTAACTGTGTTGTCTCCCCTCGCTTCCAGGTGCGGAATGGCCACATCAAACGAATCACAGACAACGACATCCAGTCGCTCGTGCTGGAGATTGAAGGAACCAACGTCAGGTATGAGAAGGGGCTCTCTGTGTCTTCGGGCGCCCTGGGCGCTGGCGCGGAGTGTCTGGTTTCCTCCATACACTCTGCTGTGATCTCCAGGAAGGCACAGGAGGAACTTGTCTGGGGTCCGATCGCTGCCGCCCTTCTGTAGCCCTGGGGACCCGCTGTACCTTTCTCTGACACAGCTGCTGAGCTCCCAGTCATCCCAGCAGGACTAAGGGAAGAGTGGCTTTAGTTTCCTGTCCCTTAGGAAAAAAAGTCCCGTTTGATACCTGGTCCCCACCTGGGGCAGCCAGTTGCTGCCTTCTGCATCGCTGTTGTCTTAGGCCTGCTCTGCTGCAGCCCCTGCATGGCAGCTCCTCTCCTGGCGGCAGGAAGGAAGATCAAAGGGAGATTTATGAGGGGAATTGCTTGTGGTGCTTCGCTTAGCAACCTCGTTCCCGTCGAGCAGGGGGAGAGACGCAGGCTCCTCCGTTGAGGGTTCGGAGTCTCCAAGGCTTCTCCAGGGGAGGCTGAGAGCAGGGCGCTCCTTATAAGGGCAGCGGAGACTCCTCTCCTGCAGACAGCCCGCGCCAGCGCTCCTCTTCGGCCCGGGACGTGTTGATACAGAACTTGCCAGATGTGACGTGCACTTCTAGGGCTCATGGCCTCTGTTTTCTTAGCCATATACAGTGCACAGGGCTTCTGCTGTGCTCTGGAGGGCTCTACCTGTTCAGGCAAGGGCCAGCAGGAGGTCGCGTTAAGAAACTGTGCCGACGTGGCCTCAGAATTAGGAAAGTGAAGCTGTCCAGGAAGGTGCTCAGAGTCCTGCGTGGGGAAAATGGCCTCTTTGGGCCTTTTATCTCAGTCTCCCTGTTGCCACCTCTGAAACTCTGTCTCCTGTAATAGAAAGCTCCATAGGTTGCTGCTGAGATCTTTTGTCTGACTGTCCTCCAGGAGAGCGTTGGGTCGAGTGAGAGGTTTGGCGTTCGGCCTGTGCGCTTTGAGCTGCGGGAAATCCTAACACGTGTTTGTGTCCTCCCAGCACCACGTACATCACATGTCCCGCTGACCCAAAGAAGACCCTGGGCATCAAACTACCTTTCCTAGTGATGATCATCAAGAACCTGAAGAAATACTTCACTTTTGAAGTGCAGGTGAGGAGAGCAGAGTGCGGAGTTCCCTCCAGGTGTCTTTGCAGTGACCATCGAGCAGGGCCTTAAGAAACCTTTTGTCTTTCTTGCAAGCAGTGTGTGGTCCCCAAAACACTCAAGAAACTCGTGGTTTCTCGATCACGGGCTGTGTCAGGTCTCCTGCTATGGCAGCACGAGAGCATCAGTCAGCTTGCAAGCCCTTCAGGGCTATTTCTGAAACCGTGTCTGCTCGCTGTCTTAAAAATACTCCCCCTGTAAAGTGCAGGGGACAAGAACAGAGAAGCCTCCTCTTAGGGACAGAGAGACCTCACGTCTAGGCTGGCTCATGTCTCGGGGAGCTGCGAGCCACTCGCTTCTGCATTAGCTGCCTTGTCTTCCCACCCCAGGTCCTAGATGATAAGAATGTGCGCCGGCGTTTCCGAGCCAGCAACTACCAGAGCACGACTCGGGTGAAGCCCTTCATCTGCACGATGCCCATGCGGCTGGACGATGGCTGGAACCAAATCCAGTTCAACCTCTCGGACTTTACGCGTCGAGCTTACGGCACGAATTACATCGAGACCCTGAGAGTCCAGGTATGAAACAGGTTGTCCTCCGTGCAGGGATCAGGGGGTGATAGGGCTGGGATGGCCTCACTGGGGATCGGCAAGCCGGGCTTTGCCCTTGCGGGTTCCTTTGCCAGCCCTGCTCTGTGTGTTCCCTGAGAGAGGAGCGGGCAGCATGTGCATGTCCGTGCTCAGGCCCTGCCTTGGCCAACTGGAACCGTATGGAGGCAGCGAGGCCTCCTGAGAACACTCAAGCAGCCACAGTACCAGTCTCCCTCCTTGTGAAACAAATCAGACGCCTCGGTGGCCGTCACCGAGTTACAGGTCTGCGGTCCCCATAAGAGCGGCTCCGAATTGAGGCGCTCTGCAGTGGGCAGGCTGGAGGGGCTGCAGCGGGGACGGGCGGCTGTCCCGGCATCCCGGCGGCTGCGCGCCGGCGGAGCTGGGCGCGGGGAGGAAGGCGCTCACTCCCTGTTCTCAGATCCATGCCAACTGTCGCATCCGACGGGTGTACTTCTCCGACCGCCTTTACTCCGAGGACGAGCTCCCCGCTGAGTTCAAGCTGTATCTGCCTGTCCAGAACAAGGCCAAGGTGAGCAGGCTGCGAGAGCGGGAGCAGCAGCTGGACCGGGGCTATTGTCCCTCCTGCCAGCGATGGGACAGGAGTTCCCAGCCTGTTGGCAGCAGCCTCAAGCAAGCAGGGAAGCCCCCTCTTTGCCAGGGCCAGCCTGTCCCAGTGTTGATGCTCCTACTTGTAGCAGAGAAGACTCCTGGGCAGCATTTCTAGGAGCAGAAGGAGGGAGGTCTCGGGCACTGACCTTAGCGGGAGGTCGAAGGCAGCGTTCTCAACAGATAAGGTCCTTGGGGAACCTGCTGCTGCTGTGTGGGCCCTTGCTGCCTTGCAGAGGGGGACACTTGGAGTCCTCCCAGGACAGTCTTATTTGGTGCTGCCTCTGTGCTGAGTGTCTGATAAGTGTCTCCTTTCTTCTCCCTGCTCCATCCAGCAATAACATCATGTTGGGAAGCGACGCAAGAAATGTTTGGGGTCAGTAGGAAAAGAGAAGCCAGCTGAAAGAGAAGGCCCTGCTGAAACCAAGTTTTAGATCAACTCCCCTTGCCCAGGGGCCGTTTGATTCATCTGGGATCCCTCTTCGGGAGAGGACACAGTTAACCATGTAACCGGTGTGGGACTGTGTTGTTGGTGTGCGAGTGGTGCAGAATCAGAGATTTCCTGGCCATTCCTAAAATGTTGAGTCCAAGCAATGTGAGTGACATGGTCCCTAATCTCTTGTGTTGCACAGAAGGGGCACTGGAAGTGTCCCCTGTCTCTCTGAAGAGAGGATTCAGCAGGGATTACAGGGTTAAGTGTGCCCTCTTGAAGATACCAATTTTCTTTTCCTTCCCTGGTTTTCCATCTCTTATTTTATATATGCTCTAAATATGGATGTAACGCTTGCTCTTGGAAAGTTATTAAACCTTTGAATCTGTTTGTAAGTCTGCCCCTGGTGCCCACTTCTGGGAGAGGTCCATGCATTTGCACTTCTTAGCACTTCAGAAAGTGCTACGGGATTTTTGGTAGGAACTCGGATGTTAAAATTTGCCTTCAGCAGCCTTTCTTCTTAAGGCAGAGCACAGCCATGGACAGCAGTAATCTGGAGCAGGGAAAAAACCCTAAGGTTGCAGTGCAGGACATGGGATCTCCAATCCCCAAGGTCTGTTGTAATCGACTTACTTACTTATAACAAATCTCACGCTGGTCACTGTGGGTAAACGGGAACGGGTTTTTCACTCCCTTATATGAATCCCTTTTCTGCACGTTGACAGATGGCCTGTCCCGTTGGCTGTGCAGTTACACAACTCGCTCGGTCTCCACTGAGCTTTTAGCAGCTCCTGACAGCAAAAGGCACACAATAGCCTTCCAGCTGCCAAACTGTCCCTCTCCCTGGGGATCAAAGGGGACGTTTAGCCAAGCTGCGTAGCAAAAGCGGAAGTCTTTTCCTGTCCAGAAGCAGCCCTTTCCCGGCTTCCAACCAACTTTCTTTCCTTGGGGAAAGGCTTCCTGCCAGGAGCCTGCACCCTCCACCGGCACTGGAGAAAGTTTGGGAGCAGCTGCCACCTTCCCTCCCTGCAGCCGAGCCCCCAGTGGGGGCCTAGGCTGGAAATGACCCGGCCCTGCGCTGGCTTGTGCAGCGCGAGGGGAAAACCTGCCTTTAAGTTATGGCGCCTTAAGCAAGGCCGGGCTTTCCCGGAGCGGAGCGCGCTGCGGGCATCGGCCCTGAGCACGCGCCGGCTCCCGGCTCTGGTCTGCAGCTGCTTTGGTGGCTCTGTTCCCTCTTTGAGTCAGCCCCGGGGCGGGTGCTATCCCGCAGCTGCTTTTTTGGCATCATCAAGTTAGCAGGGTTGGAAATGGAGGAGCTGCGTCAGTGCCGCGTTTCTGGAGAAGACGCTGCAACGACCCCAGAGTGCGGCAGCTCCGGCCAGCCGAGGAAGCCTGGGTGGGAAGGCACCGTCCGCGTCTCCTCGCTGCTGTCAGGGCCCAGGCTCAGGATTCGACCAGCGGGCGCGGGGCCAACGCTCGCCCTCAGGCCTCGTGCCCCCTTTCCTGACGGGCTCGTGGCGCTTGCTGGGGCCGGGGAGTCGCAGCGGCCGCGGGAATCCATCAGGCCCAGCCAAGGTAAGGCCTGGGTCCTTCCCCGCCAGCCTTTGCCTGGTTTCCGTCGTCCCTGGCAGCCCAGCGCTCACCGGGGAAGAGGACCACGTTCCCATGGCCTCTGGGGGCCCATCTTGGACCACGCTCTGGGCAATCCTCCCTCGTGCAGACTGGGACTCGCTCTGCGGGAGCTGGCTCCACGCAGGGAACTTCCACAGCTCTGGCTGCCAATTCCTGCCTGGCCTCTAGGGAGCGGCGCCATTGGCTCTGCCGGGAGAAACGCCCCACCGCAAAGCCCCGCGTTCGCGCAGACCTGCTCTGCGTTTCTGAACGTGAAACAAAATCCTGGCTCTTCCTGTTTACACATCGCCCAGAGCGGAGTGTCGCTAGATAGCAGCTCCTTCCTTCGGGGCCGGACGGCAGCGGATTTATGGAGGGCTGTGCCAAAACTCAGCCTTGGCTCCTCCTGTTCTCCCGTCAAATGCTGAGCCTGCTGGCAGGAGGGACGCTCTTCCCCTGGGAAAGCAGGAGGCTGCTGGCAGGGACACCAAAGCATCACAGGGCTCCTCTCGGCACCAGCAACCCCTAGCAAAGCTTTTGTGATGGAGGTCCCATCCTTGTGGCACTTCAGCTGGCGCTCAGTCTGCCTGGGGCACCCGGCCTGGCCGTGGGTGCTGCCCCCGGAGCCTTGGGACGCTTCCAGCACTCACAGGTCCTGCGTACGCCCTTGGAGCGGCGGAGCGAGGACGGGGGAATGACCTGTCCCTGAGGAAGAGGGTCTGGTGGCATCTTGGCTCGTGTGGCAGGCCCCACTGCTGGAGGAGGACCCCCTCCTGCGCCGGCCAC